TATATATATATATATATATATATATATATATATATATATATATATATATATATATATATATATATATATATATATATATATATATATATATATATATATATATATATATATATATATATATACTCTATGCAGCGTAGAAATAGATGTCAGTCATGGAAAAGCCGTGCGAATAGAAATAAGTGCAGGTTAGAAAGGCCATGTTAAAAAAAATAATGAAAATAATTTCTCTTTTTTTCGGCGTCGTTATCAGAACAGAACTCCTCAGATTAAGGCTTTCGTACAAAAGATTGGCGGGAGTATTTCGGCTTTGTTCACAGGGCAACCCGGGGTCAACAATACCATCGACAGTTATGGCAACCCCTACCTCAACTGAGGCCATTGGTGGAGATCCCAATAACAAGGGCAGATTTCGTGCTCGACCAATCAGCGCATTTATTTACATTTTCGTTTTCAGCTAATCACAATGTAGGAAACGAGAAATTTACACCAAGGCGAGCTAGAAAATATCGCCGTCTTCTCGGGCTTCCGTGACATTCAATTTTAGCTTTTTAAATTTAAACATAGGGAAAAATTTCAAATATGAATGTCACGGAATCCCGAGAAGACGGCAATATTTTCTAAATTTCAATTTCAATTTCAAATTGTAAATTTCTCGTTTCCTGCATTGTGATTAGCTGAAAACGAAAATGTAAACAAATGCGCTGATTGGTCGAGCACGAAATCTGCCCTTGTTGATCCTAATGCCTCTCTTTAATCCCTATCCTCGCCATTTTTAATATTTGATGTTCCGAGTTCTGACTCTTCCACAGTCCCTCTCTACATTTGTGTTAGTTAGTACGAGAGAATCATATAGGGAAATATGCCCGTTCGCCGATTAGGCATTGACAGAAGCGCCGCCCGTTCCCATCATCCAACGCGAGCGACTGGAAACGTGTCAGTTTCGAGTTCCCGAAATAGAAACCCGATTCCCCAATTCAATCTGCGACTTCAGATCTAGAATCACGTGGTCAAAAATCGCGAAATGTGGACACTTTGCGAGGCATGCTTGTATAAATACTACAGGTGTATATGTACCACAGAATATTACAGTACCACAGAATACCAGGGATTTTTTTATGTTATAAAATTTGAAGGAAACATGCTATACACTTTATTTTTGTGAATATATATTAGTTTTAGTCTCAATGGTCATATAAAAACGAAAAATGGATATTTTCATAAAATTCTTAAAAATAATCGGGATAAACAGCAAATAGAATTCCTTACTTTTTGCTACTTTTTTTCTGCGCGCTTAATGCCCGTAAAATCAGAAAGTGTGAAAATAAGTTCGCAAATCAACACGATTTACATTCATGACATTTTTTCTAAGCGATATAACATTTTTATTATTCAGGAATCTCATTGAGCAATCGCACTTACTATAATAAAATTCTATTTTTCAAAACTATTGGTAAACCTAATATACTGTGTTACTTACCACCAGTATTCTGTAGTCAGATGTTAGTATTTACCTTCCACTAAATTAAGTTAGCAATTTCTGTGCAGTGTTATCACACAACATGACACGCCAAATCCTCATACAATTTGATAAACCGTTCCTTACTTATTGCCGCATTGGTATTCAGTGGTACATTAAGGATTTTATCCACAGAATGTCCGATTTAAAAAATAATAGAATCTGCCAAATCTAACCCCAAGACCCCACAGGAAGGAAAAAAATAATGAAAAACTATACTAAAAAATATTTATATGCATCTCACAAAAGCTTTTTTTCGAAAATATTACCGCTTTTTTCGAAAATTATCTATAAAACTAAGCTAGCTTAAAAGTTAAAATGATACTTCTGAGAGAACTATAACATAATATTTAAAGCAAAGATGCTTGAGTCGGAAAAGGAAACCTTTGTATTATTACCGGGGTTTTTTTCTTCTGGATAAACACCATCGCTACGTTGTCATATTTTCCACACAAAAAAGGCGAGAAACCGGTAGTTTTTATAATAATTATACTCCTTTACAGCTTTCGTTGTGGGCACAAAGTTTTAAACATCGTTATAAATGGAAATAAGCAACAAGAAACAAGCCGTTAAAGTCGACACAATGGTATCTGAATTTGATAAGCAGTTTTCGCATGTTTTCCCGCGTTTATTCCCGTTTCCTATAGCATACGAGACCTCGATTGCGATTTATAAATAAGGTCTATTGTCAATCTTTCTTGCTGTCATTGCCTTGCTCAGCAGTACAAGTATTTACCATACGTTGCTCTGCTTTACCAATGCAAACTATTTTTAGTTATGATTGGAGTAGTTGATTTTTGTTATGAATTTGCACTGCAAGTATAAATTTAAATAGGGTATGGTGGTTTCGAGAAGGATAACTTGAGATACAGCTAATTCAATTAGGGTTGTCCTCTTGATGTCAACTCTAAACCACAAAATCCCGCCCTCCAAGCGCCAAAAGCACGATGAAATATACTGTATGTAATTTAAACTTCCGACACTCCTTAGTTACGGTTGCTATACGCGATTAATAATTTATGAATTCCCCCGTTACAAATGCCCGATCAAGCAACAAACATTAACGCGACAATATGCATCACTCATTTTGTACTCTGGTACATACTAAATTTCCATACATGGCCTTGTTGCACGTTTCTGCCAAAGTTGAGACGGGATTTATTTGGTCATAAAATCCCGGTATAGACTACAAAAGCTGGAACGCACTATCCACTGGATAGCGATTCCCCCCCCCCTTTCCTAAAATTGTTCGTTGATTAGCATAACCCCGATTAACAAGCTCGCTTCGATCGTAACTGGCAAATCTGATAATTGACTTGGCGGTTTGTGGTATCACTGAAGAGGAAGTTCGGTCGAAGCCATGACCGTGGGTCGAGAGTTTGCGTTTAGTCATGGTCACGTTCACAAATTAGGTATCGACGACTTGGTGACGTATTTACATTTAATTTAATTAACCTAGCTGTTTTCGAGTGCCAAGAACAACACCTCTCCTCTATAGTACCACAATCACACTTCCTAAGGAAGTGGAGATGAGCAAGGGCACTAAGACCCGCTCCGATAGAGCGATAGAGACACTGTATAACGAACGACTTATGACACACACACACACACACACACGAGTTTGGGCCGATTGTTGACGCTGATTGCCGCGAACACAGGACGGGAAGGACGATGCGATAGACGATGGATTGGGAGAAACGAGGGTCGTTAACCCAGCGAGGCTGGCGCGAGGTGCCATATCATGAACAGGGAAAGGTACTTAACTGAGATTGGGCAATCGACGGGCAGCGAGCCAAACGACGGGGCTGGCTGCGGGCTTCCTCCGGGAAGGCTACGGATGGGCGTGGGTGAGGGAG